TAATTACCTATCTCTGCTGGAAGAGAAAGGACTGCACATTAATGTACAGCTGTGAATAAAGATTTGTTTATTTAATAACTGGACAACCGAACTTCTAGAGTTACTCATTCAAGAGGAAATCAAGAAACTTGAACCACAGGGGCTTTTTTCCCCTCCAAGGTCAGAAGAATAAAATAATGAGACCTTTGGAACAAAAAATGCTTTCTGGTTCTTTTTTTACTCCCAATTTTCCTATGAATTAAATTGTGATCTAAGGCAATACTAGAACAGATTCACTGAAGCCCTTCATGATCTTGCCTTTATATCCAGAACATTCCAAAATCTTTTCAAGAACCAATATATAACTGCTACAGATTAGTACAAAAAGCATCACAAATCTTAAGTCTATGCAATTCTATTAGAAAGAATGAAAATAGACTTATTTACTGTTGTGACATCCTTCCTTCAGTTCTTCTGCCGCTTTCATCTTCTGCAACAAACAACTCCGAGGACCTCCCCAGGTGCAAATCACACATCTAGAAACCCCACACTTTATTTCCTATTCTCTTAGCAAGGCTTTCCTGAGGTTGAAGACAGATGCCACACAAAGAAACACCGATTCCAGCTGAGCTAGAAGGTGCTTTTTGCAGCAAAGCTGAGTGTGATGCTCCTTTGTTCCTCCCAACACAAGCTTCCCTTACGTGACCTTATTCCTTCAAAGAAATAATCCATTGTCTCACACATCAGAGAATTCTCAGCTGTCTGATTTCCCTTCATTGAAGCTTTTCTCTCATTCCAGAACCACTTTGATTGCAACAATGAGCCCTACTTAATGCAGATATGAAAATTTTCTTTGTAATGCAATGCAAAACCTTTGCAGCAAGCTGTCATCTCCAGACAAGACAATTACTGAAGATCTGAACACACTGCACACAGCCTTAGAGCCAGAAATCCTCTTCATTTGACCTCTTAAACTTGATGACATGCACTTGTCATTTGATGAAGGTGTCACTTTTGACCATGTCAAACAGTTATTTAATGTAATGAGGAGTAAGCCTTCCAAATTTTTTCCAAATGAGGGCCAGGCATTGGTTCACTTCTAATGCATTTCTTAAACAGTGTGGGACAGTATCTGCAGTACTTAATTCTTTTAAATTCCAGAACAAAATGCAGTCCTGTGTTGTCCTACTCTTCTGGATTTGCTGGTTGCCTACAATCTGCCCAACTAGGCTGCAGGAAAATAGGGTTTGCTAATGCAATCATTCAAACCAGAACAGAGCTAAAATACTTTGACATTCATTTAAATAAACAGAGTTCAACCATTTGAGAAGTTAGCACGTTCATTTGACCAGTCCTATAACTCAGGGGGAGATAAAATCCTACATCTGCAGAGCATTTGCAGCAGTTTCACTGATCAGGCAGCCATTGCTTCCCAGCCCTTTGGGACAAACCTGCACTGTTTGTTGAGCAGAAAGCTGCCACTTGCAGTAAAGCCTTTACTCTTAACCTCAGAGATTTTCACTCTGCATTCTGAACTCATCAGAAGGACAAAAAGCCCATCCCTGTGAGCTCAGCAGTGCCTCGGCTCCAGCAGATCCACTAGAGGGAGATCCTAAATTAAACAACCTCCAATTTTGCCAGCAGCCAGCAGAACAGCTGAGGATGCCAACTAAAAGATCAATGACATTTTTCAAATATATGCAAGAGAAGGAGACCATGATTTAATTTTATTTTAAAAAGAGTGAGAGAGCCCTACCCAACAGCTGACTTGCAAACCAAGAGGATGTACACAACTTAATCTTTAATATTCCTTAGAAGTCATTTAGATTTCTGTGAACCCTTGCATAAAATTTAAAATTCATCTGCAGCTTTATGAATTTCTGAATAGTATGCTCAGCTAACATTAAAACTGCTTTCCTTTTATGAATAAATACAACATAAAATAAGCAAGCTAATAAAAGAAATTGCCAAAATGAGAAAGCACAGCAGAAAATAAGGACACTGCAAGAATCTAACTTTAATTGGATGCAATTCTATAATAAAAGGGAAGCTATCTCTGTAGGATCTCTTTATTTTTATTTGAGTTGGAGGTTCTATATGCCATTTTGGATACACTAGGAAACACAGCAATTTATTTAAACTAAGACAAGTTGTCATCTTCAAGCACAGATTTTCGAAGCAGTATCATCAAAATACCAACGAGGACAACATGGGTTAGAAATTTTTAAAACCCAAGCAGGTACACCGAAAGAAACAAAATTAACCATATATAATGTATTGATCCATCATATATCAGTGCAAGTTTATTTTATGACACATACCCTCCCAACACCTTTTCAGAAAGAGTAATTTGTTTATAGAAGAGAGGCAGTTGCGATCCATCTCCTAAATTGAAGAGCTAATATTAGAGCCTCAGAGCCAGTGACCTGTCTAAGTAAATATTCATCTATTTCTGAGATGCTGGGGGGTGGGAGGGAGGGAAACTAACACCAAGGATTCATTTCCAGCTGCACTTTTAGGAAATTATACCAACTACACAGAAACAAAATTCACTGAGCTTTGAGCAAGGAGCACAATTAGTTTGCTTCTAAACTGCAAGCCACTTAGCAACCCATTTCCATTACTGAAGCAGCATGTTCAGAAAGATACTTCTTACACTGAAACAGGTCAGAAAAATTCAGTAATATCTAGATCAGACAGTGACAAAAATTCCCAGTTGATAAAACTTAGGAACACTTGTTGACAGTAGTCTAACACAGAAACACTATGAACACTTCTCTTTAAACGCTGTCTGGAAGTGATATGAGGCTGAGAGAGCAACTCCACGTGCCTTATTAGGAATTGTTTTAGAAGCAGCACTGCAAAACCGCTCATCTGCTGGAACAACGCTTGATAATGTGAAGGTTTGGTTTTATTTTTGGTTTTATTTCATCTTGATGGAAGCTAGAGCAGCTACCTGTCTGTGGCACAGGTGACAGCTCATCTTAAACCACCACAGCCCTTGGCTGACAGGAGCCAGGGAAGAACAATTATCTCCTGTGCTCACCATTAGCTTGTGATGCAGCTAATTAACGCATTTTGACTTGTGCCTGCTGCTACCACCAAATTAAATTCACAACAAGGAGAAACAAAGTGACAATGCTGTAGTTCAGAAAAAAACTTAAAAGGTTAAGCCAGTCACTTTCAAACATAGCCACAAACCTTAATTCGTGTCCATGCCAGAATTGTTGAGAACAAACCAGAGGAAAACAGCACTGTAGTCAGCAACCAGGCTGTGGTAAGTCACACACAGTTATGACATTTTACAGTCATAAAATTCTAGTTTTATCCAAGTCTTTATAAACTGAAGTGGCATCTCTGTTTATTAATGAAGTTTCTACTATGAACTTATATATATACAATATATAATTATATATTAACATATATATAACAATGCATATATAATATATAACATATATATTAACAAATATATAACAATGCAGCAGCCCACAAACACCTTGAATAAAGTAGCAAGAGAACAAGTCATTAGACAAATTACAAGCCACCAAATTTAAAAAGGACACACTGTCTAACTAAAAAACGAGCAATGCAATGCCTGCCTATGTCATTTCAGCCTCTCTAGCAGCTCAGGCTCAGTGTTATGAGCAGTTAAACTGAACTACTAAGATATGTATATGCATATATACACACTGAAACACAAATTCTTCAAGTACAGGTAATGGGAAAGAACTGGAACACCTCAAACCTGTGGTAATTACCATCCATCAGGCCTTTTCATCAAAAGAGTACAAACCAACACTTCACATGTTCCCCAATACTGGCTGGGAGACAGGTGATGAACAGTCAGAATGCATGAAGAGTTTACAAGTGAGTAAGCCTTAGGGAAAGCAGAACTGAGGGATGTAGAAGAGAAAACACCCAGCTGAGAGGTAGGAGACTGGGAATCACAGCTGGGTTATTTTAGCAGGCAAAAGAAACCTCCTAACTCTAGCCACCATTTCTATTTTGGCCTCCTATGTTGTGTAACAATGTAAGCACTGCAGAATGTACCATCCACAACCTAGACAGATTAGTTTCAAAAGGCAAGTCTTGAAAGGACTACCAGAAAAAAAACACCAACTTGATAAAACCACCTTTTTTGCTGTAGTTGAGACAGCCCTAGTATAGTTATCTACAGCCTCTCTTCTACACAAAAGAAAGAAAACTGGCACACAAGCACTATCTCTTGTTACACAGGCAATCTTTAAAGTTTAATGAGGACAAAAGAATTCTATTTGGTTACAAGAACACAAAAGACTCTTAGTCTTTTAAAAGAAACTCCCTGTGTGTGTGTCACAGTGTTACACTGATCAATTTGCTGTAGAGCCTACCTAGAATGTGTTACAGACACCAGCAGAAGACTGCAAGCCAGGAATTTTTCCACCAGTGTTTTAAAGCCTATGTCACCCTGATCTTCAAACAAACAAAATTATAAACCTGGTGTCTAAATTGTACGTGCTCATCTGAATGTTAACCCTGGATTCAAGGTCCTTGAGCCAGAAGACTCTGCATGGTAAAAACTGCCAGAGAAGATTACCTGAATTCCAAAGTTTATAGGAAAAAAACCTTCACAATTTTATAATAAACCAGTAACCAATGAGAAGCAAAAATACCAACACACAATAGGAACCTGGATGTCTCTAGAAATCCTGAAAAGTATCCTCCTTACAAGGTACATGCTTCTTGGGCAGGTCTTTTTGTTTTGCTTCCTTAAAAAAGGCAAACCCAGCAATTTTTGTATCTAATACAGAAATATGTAAATTGATTTACTTGCTAGGAAGTGCAATTACAGAGATGTCAGCTGAGTTGAGAAGCACTGTTAAGAAGCAGTAATTAGTCAGACAAAACATCCAAATAATTAAAACACCTAGAGGCTTATTTATGATTAGAAACAAGACTTATAGACATTTACACATAAACATTTGAATTTTTCTGTATTTGAACAATCTTAGGGGATAAAAAAATAGTGAAGAGACTCTTACCAGCTTCCTGTGAATTTAATACTTCTAAGGCATGCATCATGGCACTTGCGAAGACATTGGCATCTTCTTTGCTGCCAAAATTCAGACCATACACTTGCCTAGCATCACGCCACTGGTGGAAGGTCTGTGTAGCCTGATTGTACTTCAGCCCTTTTGGAATGGCACAATTTATTACCACCTACAATCATTAAAAAAAAAAAAAAAACAAAAAAACAAACTTATGTTTAAATTTTCTGTTCCAGCAGAAGTTTCAGCTTTGTGTAGATTTTATTCCTCCACCACACGCGTTAATTCACGACCCATAATCTGTGAAACACAAGGCTGAAAGCACAAAACCATTTCACAATTTTAATTCCAACACTGTCTGTAATCAGTGGTGGGAATACACAAGGGGACTAATGAGATATTTTGTAGCAACTTTTGTAGTTTAAGTGTTCTCACTTCAAAAGATGCAGCCATGTTTCCTAACAGCAATGTACTAACATCCACAGCTCTGACTTCCAGCAGCAGACTACTTGATGTGAAAACATGCTCCAGAAATTCAGAAACTCATTTTCCCATGAATTTCACAGGGTATTTGTTGGGTTTCTTTTTTAACCAAGTTATATCACCTTCTCCCTGTGGCTGCTGCACCCCTTGGCTTGCAGGGCTTTCAGCATCAGTTTACTGGATTTGTACCATGGATCACAGGGTATCATTCTGCAAGATTGTTGTGGCTCACACAAAAGATGAAAATTCAAGCTATTAGGGCAACCATTTACTACAAGCCAGCCACTAAGAGGATCCCATTGCACTTGGATAACTATATCCTCTCACCTTTTTCTGCTGAATAATGGGACAAAAAACCCCCAGATTCGCTCTCAGATGAATGCAGAGACCATTTATTACTTGTGGTAAATATTTAGTAACAAATCACACAGGGGATTACCAGTATAGCCTTCAGATGCATAATAAATGACCAAAAACAGACCAAAAGAATTCTATTAAATGCTGGGAAGGAGGGAAACAAATATAAGAAGCTTTCCTCAAACAAAAGATTAGGTTTTAACCCCATCCCAAGTATCATATGGCAGAGCACATTTACAGAGTGCCAATTTGCCATTTAATCATGATCCAGTAACTTCATCAAGAAGACAAAGATGTAATCCCTGTTACTCCCTTCTCACTCTCTTAAAGCGCAAACATCAGAAGGTTTTTTGAACAAAATGACCTGGGGAAATGAGACATCATGCATCCAAGTTTCCATGAGGTAGGAAGAGCTAAAAGAACTGCTGGTGTCTACACGAGCTGCAGCTCACAGTGTGGAGTGGGGGAAGAGAAGCTTTCAGGTTGCCACTTTGCCTTAAAAAGAACCAGATGACTTCTGTCTACACCACTAGCCTTTATAAATAGAGATCTGTAGGAAGGAATGGTAAAAGGACTATCGCCTTGGGGGTATGCAAAACGTTTAGTTCACAGGGAAAAAGCAATAAAAGTTCTGCTACTTCAGTTAAAAAACGTGATTTTTTTTTAATTGGTCCCGTAATTTTGCTGAAGACTTAATATTTAATATTGCTAAATTGTCAGAGATTTCCTCACCTGATGATCCTGAATCTTCCTGCCCACTACTCTGAACGTGTTGTTGCCTGTGTGATGATATATGTGAACTCTGCTGAATCCAGTTGATCCTCCAGCTGGTACCCATTTCTTGTTGGCATCATCGTAGACCATTACAGCAGCTCGTGCTTGGCAGATACTCTGTTCACTGTTAATACACAAAGTGGAGGAGAAAATAAAATTACTTGTAACAAAGCATCATCTTTCTGGTTAAGGTTTTTTTTGTTTTTTTGTTTTTTAATTTAAAATGTTAAAGCAATAGTCCTTGCAACTTGCTGAAACTCCACCCTTCTGAATATAAAACCACCAGGACTTGGAGATTTTGCTTATATGTGTTCATTCTGAAAAGCTGTGGCCCAGACAGACAGGCCTAACAACTAACAAAAGAGATCAAGAAGGTATTCACTACTTCTTTTTGCATTTTTTCCCCTTACAGTTTTTTTTCCCCTCCTTTTCCTCACCACCAGCCATGAATTTTCATTAAATGCCATAACCATATACAAAGCTTTCTGCAAAGACCAAAGAGCAAAGAATCTGCACTAGCTTCATACAATCTACACTTCCCAGTGGAAATTACTCCTACAGGAGATGAGAATTGGAAGGCCCTTGTACCTTTTAACACACAGACAAGAAAACAAACACAGAGAATAAAGTCCAGCACAAAAATTTCATCAGCTCCTAAATGAAACACATTTTGGTTTTGACACATTTTACAACAGTTGACACCCAGATGTAACATTTTCTCCCTGAGAAAAGGTTCTACCGATCACCAGAAAGTGCAAACTAATCAGGAGATTGTTACTGGCAGATAATCCTGATTATGCCAGTCAGCTGGAAGCTGAGCTACAGCCTGAAGTTAAAAAGGAGCATATCATGAATGTCATCATGTAAGGAACACATGAAATCAGACCATACCAGAAACAGACTATTTATTAGGAGAGGAAAGGGTGATACCATGCAGGTTGTCTTTGGGGGTAATGTCCAGATGCAGACAGGAAACAAAAATAGAAAGGAATGATTTCTTATCAGTAAGTCAGATTCTGTGAACATACCACTCCAGCACACCCAACATTATAGAAAGCACATGATGCCTGGCTTGCAAGGAATGTGGCCTGCCATTTGGAAAACTGAGAAGGCTGAGCAGACATGCATCCTTCATAGGAAAGTAAAGGAGTATTTTTCATATTTGATGAAAGAGGGAAAGGATGCCTCCCCTACCCGTCTGTCTTGGGTTTTTTGGTGGTTTTTATTGGTTGATTGGTTTGGGAAGGGGTGTGTGTGGTTGTTGGAGTTTTTTTCCAAAGACTATGCTGAATTTCCCAGTATCTTATTCACATCTCCTAACACAGGAAAACTCTGAAGTAAATCCAGCTGTTTTGTTAACTTTCAATACCGACATTTTTGAGAAAACGGAATCAATTTCTATCACACTTTCCATGGCATTCTAACAACTATAAAAGTGCTCAATACTGGGATGCTCTTCAGGGCTCATGGAGAAGAGAGAATACTGAGATCATGTCTCTCATGCATATGGGAGATTCATGATCAAATGAGGAAATAGGTTCTTAATTTAAAAAATGCACGTGTTCTAGCCCTGTGTTCACCTATTCAACAACTAGATCAGAACGAGATTACAACCTCTAATTAGACCATCTTTTTTCTAGTTCAATTTAGGGTATTAAAGTGATAATATACATTATTAAAGTGCTTCTTTTCTAAGCATAGTTTATAGCTTAGACTGGAAGGAGCACATCTGAACCAGGAAGACTAAATGCAAAGAAAATAAATTTTGGTACAGCTTTTAGGCATTTTGCAGTCCCATTAAATATACACCACAGTGAAATACAGTTCACTCACTTGAGGACAGTGCAAGAACCTACTGGATTTCTTTATTTTTAGATTTTTTTGGCACACATCTTAAAGTTCAAACCTAGAAACATTCTGTACAGTTCACAAAGTACATGACAAACAGTAATGCGGTTTTTCTAAAATGCCTGACTGTAAACTTGGAAAACTTCTGAACCCATAATAAATTTTTGCTATATTTCAATTTGGATCAATCACAGGCATGATAAACCATAGGTGACAGGCCTAGATACTGATTTGGAAGCAGAGCCATGTGGTTCACAGGGTTATTGCCAAAAAGTAACTTCTATTCAGTCATGTGCCAGACAGATTTAAAAAAAGGATTCTATTAAAAATTGAGACTACGATTCTAAGCTAATATGTTCCAATTACAACAAAGGCAGAACCAGAGAGTGACTGTAAGCAATGGTGCAGTGAGCAGAAGACTTAACAGACCACCAAATTGCAGGTGCTCTTATTAAGCCTGAGGTTATAAAACTTTTTGCATTATTTTATTTAACATACTAAAAAAATAAAGAAATAAAGAAGAAAAACCTATTCATTTTAGAACTATTCAGTATTCAAGTGGCACTCTTCACAAGTGCAAGTAAGATGACCTTGAACTGAATTTCTAGCTTTTCTTTAACAACTACTAAACTATTTTTAGTTCCACTTCTCAGGCCATGTCTTATAACTGGAAGTATTAACCAAGTCCAGATCTTGGCTACTTCATGGTCTATTTAAAATAAAACAATTTTCACAACAGGGAATTAGGCTTATTCATATAAAAATATGAGATGATTCACAAACTTTTAAAAATGACAACTACAAACAATTTCCAGCTGACCTTTTCAATCAGTACATAATAAACCTTCTGCCTTCATTTCACACAAGTCCTGTAACTGAAATTTCAGTGTTCCAAGTGTGTAATTTTCATACCCAGGTATCAATTTGAAGGTGACATGCTCCCCCCTCCTGCCAACAGTTCCCACCACACAGCACTTTGTTTATCAGACTGCAACAGTAAGATGGAAAAATAAAAAGAAGAAAAGACCCCTATCAGAAAGAAATTAAATCATCACAGGATGTTAGCCTATTTCCAGGGTTCAACAATTATCAGGTGAAAGGGTGACTTATTCAATTACTCTCTCTTAGTAATAAGTTCTCTAAAATGAAGAAAAAAAGAAAAGCATGGAGGCATGAGCTTTAGTGAAAAGAATCTTTAGTTCTGCTCTTCAATGGCAATTTGATAGTTTAGCATCTGAATATAGTATATTGTACATTATAATTAGACACCATAAAGTACTTAAAAATGAAAAAAAAAAAAGCATACTAGAAATCCGTTCACTTCAAAGCGTTACACCAAATCAAAAATCTACACTCTTAGCCCATGACTATCTTGGACAGATCTAATGAAAAGTACAGTTTAGGGTGTTTTTCCGAAGATCCAACTTTTTCTAGGAAAATTCTGACTTTAGCATACACGCTGTTACTAGAACCTGAACCAGCCTTTTGTATTCTACAAATACATATCAACTATCAACTTCAGTGCAAAAGAACAAGAGCCAAGTGAATAAGAATGGTATAGTTTATTGTATTTCTTGCTTTTCACACTTACGACACTTCCCTGCGGTACTTGTATTAGGGAACAGGTCTTCACCCATCTCAGTATTTACACATGAGCTCCTCACAGTCCCCAGGGTTTGCTGTGACACATGTGTCCCTTACATGACCTGTGCTAGGATGGCTTCCTTCCTTCACTGCACCAGAATCACTTTGGTCTGATTAAAAATGCAGATATTTTTACATATTACCTTACACTGGTGGAAAATAAACAAATTGTCTCCAGCTATGTTGCAAGAGAAAAGAAAAAGGGTCTTCATCTCTTTGCCATGTCATTAGGCCTTCAAAAGCATCCTACTGGGTTTACTTGCCTATTTTTTCTCTTCCTGGTGGGGTGTAATGGTTCCAGAAACCATTAGACTTGGATTAGCCTGCACCTTGTCAATATGTGAGCTGATTAGGGGATGTGGGAGATTGAGCATCTCCAGCTTCTCATGCTACTGCCAAAATGCACAGCTGCTCCAAGAACTGATTGCTAGATTATTAGGGCAGTGTGCTGGGGAACTACAGTGAAATTTTAACAAAGAAAAACCGAGAAATTGTATGTTCCCAAGTAAACTTACTAAACTAAGTATATGAAATTGTTTGCAGAAAACAGAAAATTCACACGAGGGAACATTCATGCAAAAAAGTGCTTACCAAACCTTAGGAGACAAAGTGTACAAGGCTCTCTTCCCAAAATGTAAAGCTTGACAAATAGCTGGATAAATATATGTTAGGAGGAGTTATTCTCCAGACAAAGATGTAAGGCTCTGATTGTTAAAGCCAGCCATTATTCTGGGTAAGTCCACCTACAGCAATACCATATAAAGCCAACGACAGGGTGGCTGGTTTTTATTTGGGGTGGAAGAGTGGGGGGAGGTCTGGCACTCAAAAGGCTCACACAAAAAACCACAGTAGTAATGAATCATAAGTATAAGATTATTCTTATGGGAGAATATACTTTCCTCCTCCAGTGATGAGATCATACAAAAAGCTCAAAAACCATAGCAAACTGAACCCTAGCAGACATCATTCTTTTGCCCAGATGGAATGTGTTCATTCTTTCACATCCCAAGTTCTTAAGCTCAATGCACAGTGACACCAATCCAGTCTGCTGACCTAAGCCTTATTTTTTTTTCCCTCTCCACAAGAAGTGGATGCTTGGTTTTCCTCCCTCAAGAACTAAAAAGGATAAACATACTTCAAGGATCAAACTCATGAAACACAGCAAAATTGCAGCCACAGAAAAGATCATTTAAATATACTAATAAAAGCAAGGAAAAGCTGTGATAGCTCTGATGCTCAACCTTTGGTATTTTTGTCAGTAATGTAACAATGAGGGTTTTGAAAAATTATATCCCATTACCACTGCCTCTGGTGATGCAGGTTGGTTTTTTTTCCTGCTATGTTCTCAATTTACAGAGACATAACAACATGTTCTTAAAATGTGCAGTCTTTGCAGGGCAGAAGGAATGGGAAGAGACACTGATTCATCAAACGCCTGTTTAGGATTTTCAAACCATGTGGCACAAAGCTAGAAAGAAACTCTAAACATTTCCAATTCTAACATCTTAAAAATACACATTTTTGAAACCAGCTAAATGCTAGTTGAGATATAAAGTTCTGGATCTTCATGGTGGTGTTTTGCAAGGTAATTTTTCCTGCTTGTTTGTAAACCCCAACTGGCACATCAC